ATATATATATATATATATATTGTAAAACTCTGGTTTGGAAGTGAGCCATGTTCGAAAGATTTTACATTTAAAGCAGAAAAAGACACCGGTATTTCATAACCTTGAATTATTAAAATGTTAAATAAAATATTTTCTATTTATATGTAGCTAAATTAAATATGTTTACTAAACTTATGCTTCAAAGGGTAAAATTGATCCATATCAAACAAATGAAAGAATCAATCCCATCTCAATAATGAATGAAAAAAATGTTGCATCCATAAAATATGCATTTCTAAACCACATTTCCGTTTCATTCATGTCATTATTTCCAATATTGCATCAAAGTCACACAAGATGATACGACAAAAACCAGCTCTAGTGTATTGATTACACCATTGTAGGCTCGGTAAAGAGTCACATAATAACAGAAAGACTAAGGCCTTGACAGAAAAGTGCCTTAATTAGCTTAGTTTATGTCTGGATAATTAAAGTTTAGGGGTGAGACAGACTTCTTTAAATGACTTTAACTTTTAAGAAGAGCCTCGTCATTAAGCCCTTGCATGTCCTCTTTTACTTAGACTGATCGTAACCATGAAGATATAAGGGGGAGGGAGTTCTTTATTTATGAAATGGTTCGACGGAGGGCGGTTCTCCAACAGTTGACTTTAAAATTTAATATACCGCATTAAATTTCGTGTGTGGAGTAGTTAAGAATTCGGGGGTTGTACGTGCTAAAGTACCGTTTTCTTCATTTTTATTCTCATGCTTTCTCGTCTGCAATCAAATTTAGGCTGCTAGCTAGATTATGTTGTTGGATAGATGAAGTTGTGTGTCTTATTAAGTTAGGTTTAATCCATGATATTGGATTTGAGGTTTTCCCCTAGAGGAGTTTGGGCATCGGAAACAATCTAATTATTTTGGAAATTTTTACAAGTTATCTAATTTGACTCGTTTTTGAAATTTCGTTTAAGGCTTGTTATTGAATGGCACGTAAAGGTGGGTGAAGTTTCTAAAAATTAGATTAGTGGAATTGTTTTACGATAAAATGTCAGTGTTTACTTTTTCATAATTAATTTATTTTGTTATTATTTAATAATTTAAAATTTTTCGGAGAATGAATTGATGGATATTTTTCGAAATATAACTGAGAGAAAAACTATTAATTTTTAATTTCTATTTTAAAATTTTGTCGGGAGCTTTGTCTATAAAATCAAAGTAAATTTTTCTTGTTTTCATCAACCATTTCAGTTTTTAAATTTTACACTAAGCTTATTTCAATAATTTATATGTAATTCTCAAGAGGAAACATATTTTCTGCAAAAATAGTTGGATTATAATATGTATCTAGCTTACACTAAACAGCATTATTGACAAAAACTGCAGGGAAGAGTTTCGTCACGTGATATCGCAAAATCCGGCATGGAACGTGCTAATTATGGGGTTTTTATGCTTGCACTTTTTCGGGGGTTTTGTACTTGCATAATATCTTCTGCTGCTGTACCTAATATAATTCTAATTAGTTATGCGAGTAGAAATTACAGTAATTTAACAAACTATACGAGATGTGTACGGAAGAAAAATAATATTGACGTAATTTTCAGGATTGTGGAAATTGTATATTTTCCTGTTGGTGGGAAAAATCACTCGCCAATATTTTCGCCAAAACGCAATTTGTTTCACCGAATTTATGATTTTATAGCATTTGACGAGGTGGCGAATGCATAGCTGAAGCTCTGATATTTATATATAATAATATTGCATTATTTATTTATTATTGTTATGTCTAAATATTATTTATTCATTTAATGTTAGTAAATTATAACGCTACTTTAATTTCCCTTGATTAGTTGAGTTTGTTACACATCATATTTGAAAGAATAATGTATTTTTATTTAAATGTTATGTGGGAAAAATTCGAAAGAAATAGTGTTTTTCTAAAATTTCGCTGCGATTTTGCAATTAAAAAATTATTGAATATTTATATATAATAATATTACGCAATTTATATATCATTATTATATATTAGTATTATATACTATTATTATATATCATTATTATATATAAATATTATTTATGCATTTAATGTTGGTGAATTATAACGTGGTCTTAATTTTCCCTGATTAATTGAATTTGTTATTAACTATATTTGAAATAAGAATGTATTTTTCTTTAAATTGTGTGTGTGAAAAATAGTAAGAAAACGTATTTTGTCTTTAAATTTAGTTTTGATTTTTAAATTGAAAATTTTTCGCATTATTGTGTTTACATTATTATGTTTAATTGAAAAATTTGCACATTATTATGTAGATAGCGTCTTATAAAACTAGGTTTAAATCAGGATATTGGATTTGAGGTTTGTCCCCAGTTGGATTGAAATAACGGAAACAATCAAATTATTTAGAAATTTTTACAAATAATCTAATTAACTCGTATTCCAAATTTCGTTTAAAGCTCGGGAAAAATGTGATTTCTCGCAAAACATCTTATTTTTGTTATTTAACTATACAACATTGATTTATTTGGTAAGAGCATTTTCAAACTGGAAGTAAGTTGAAAAAATATGATAGCTAACAGTCGGTGAGTAAAATTATAATAACCATCTTTCAGCATTTAATTAAAACGTCTAGAGTTTGAATGTAATGACACGAACTGTTAAGGTAATCATTACTTTCTATTGTCAATTCATATATTTAAAGCTATAATTTTAAATATTGAAAAATAGAAATATATATAAATAAAACGAAATATATATTAAATAATATCCATGTTACTTTAAGATTTAAAAATATATAATTTCATTTTCATAAGAGGTAACATTATCGTTTATTAACAAGTTAAAATTTTGTTTCCTTTTTATGATTTTTCAAATAATAGGGAAATGACATTTGAAACAAGAACTCTAATTAATAATTTTCCTAGGATTATACAAGTCTTTAACTATTTCTAGAGTAATGCTTATGCACACGGTTACTTACGAGCATATTTAATTGTTGGAGTAAATTTAAAACTGAAATTGAGAAAAGTTAAAATATTTATGAAACTTAATTATACTTATCGTTTTATCTTTTCAGCTACCCCAGATGATGTAGAAACAATAGGACTTATATGCACTTCGGTTGCTACGATTGCAGCAACAGCAGTAACTTTATCTCTGGCTCACGTGTTTGGATTAGTAGGTGCTTTCTGTTGTTACAAATGGCATAGAAAAAGTAAGAGAAAGAAAATTCTACAAAAGAGTTTAAACATGCCCAGACAACTTCCACCATCAACTGCAGCAAGAAGATCCTCAGTGGGTCGCCAAGAGGAGCTATTTTACGCCAAACCTGATGTATCATTTAGAAATGTGTATGGATCTTATGAATCACCACCATAAAGAAACCTGTGATTGAACATTTTTTTGAATGAATTTAGTCAATCAGATGGGTGATGCCAAATTTCATAAACATGGCAGATGATCGACTAAATTCATGCATGCCTGAAACGATTGTTTTTGTTTGAAACGTGTACCAACATGTTCATGCTTAGGACATAAAAACTCATTATTACTTTGAAGTCGGTTTTAAAGCACCTTCTATAAATAAATAAGTTGTGAATCATTATAAAAAATATAACTGGTGCTTTTTTGGCATTTTAAAATGTATTAAGATTTCCACTCTTTATTTAGGTTTGTTTTCAAACTTTATGAAAACTATTTTCGATATTTTTTTATTCGAATTCTTGCATCTGTGTGAAGAAATTGTAATTTCATTGAAAACTATAACTCATATAAGAGGGGGAGAAATAATGTTTATTTTAATGATGTGTAGATACTTACATGGGAGAAGAAGTGAATAGCATAAATTCTCACGATTAAGCTTCTAGCAGATGTGCGTAATTAATATCTATCTATCTGTGTTATATAAATGTTGAGTATTTGCTCTGTTTACAGAAACACATTTCTTCTGATTGCAACTATACAATACATATTTATACCTGATTTCCGTTACTAACATATTGCTTTTTGCATTAGAATATTGCAAATTTCAACGGCCAAGTTGGTATAACGACAGTTTTATTTATTTCATTTTCAAATCATTTCAGTAAATCTTTGGTCATTATATATTGCTTTTAGGAATATATTTTCTTTTATTTTTAAGAAGAAAGAGTTTAAATTAATAGTAATTAACATAGTAATTAGGTTTATAGCCTAAAGTCAATTTCAGTATTATTTATATATTTATACTCTTAGAAATTGTCACCTCATACTAGCGTATTTTAGAAATACGTATGGCCTATCACGTTGTTTTTAAGTTCCCACCTGGTGAAAGGCTGACTTCAGAAAGAAAATATTCATAATCGCAAATGTATGGACTGAATATATATTATGTAACTAGATTATAGACGCAATAAGATTGCTTTCAATGGTTTTCAACTTTAAAACTTAAAAATTGCATTATGTAGAAAGGCATCATCAATTTCATATAGCAAAAGTTTAGTTAAATGAGTTTTTGCTTAAAATTTATTTTTTTTAAAAAATGTATTAATTTTGTGATGTCGCTATTTAGAAATACTGATCAAACATGTATTATGTTCATCGTATTACGTTTTTCACCCATATGTACATGCTGTAGGCTAATTGAAAAATCCTACTTTTTACAGATTTCACCCCATTTTGCAATGCACAAGGCTAATTAGAAAAGTTTTCTGCTTTTGCCAATCAGCCTGCTATTTTTGGGCTCATTGCATCATACATACCTTTAGGTTAACTGGAAAATATGCAAAAAATTAATCAATCAGACTGAATTTATCTAGGCAAATTGAAACAAGCCTTTTATTAGGCTATTTGCATTAAGCCATCCCGCAAGCTGGATTGATTGCAAATCGCATAAAATAAATCTAGCTAATTGATAAATTACAGATGTATTTTAAAGACCCTAACGGTATGTTGTTTAACTGTAATAAGTTAGGCTCATTGAAAAATGCTGGATAGTTTTCTAACTAGCTTTGCGAATTGAAGAACGGTGGCAGCTGTTTCCAAAGAGCTAATTAATGGGATCAGCCTGCGGCATACTCTACGATGTGTACTAAAGTCAAAGTTGTTCTAAAACAATGTAATTGATAATTAAAAATGGATAATGCTGTAAGTCCAATGGGATTTTATAGGATAGCGAAAAAAGCTTTTTTCCACTGCGTTCAGCCTATTTCATTTCATATAATGTGATTCAATTAACTAGCAAAATATTTAGACTCATTTCTTTTCAAATATTTATTAATAAGGTTACCACTCCAAGCTTTCTTTAGTTAGTAAAGTTAGTAAAGCTTTGCATTAATGAAAATTGTTTTAAAGAATAATCGTTTTTTTAGTACTTTCAGATTTTTCTCTTTTTAATCCTCAATGACTTTTAACTGTTAAGTTTTATATATGAAAAGCATCTAAAAGTTCCTTCTTGTACTTTTTTTTCGATTTTAAAAATAACTACAAAATTTGATCTATGAACCCTTTACTGAAAACCGTCTCTGACATCCATTTGTAAAATCAACTTCTTTTCCAAACATCCAAAACATCTTTTCATACTTACAGAAAGTTTTGCTATGTCACTTTTATGACTGTGTATGCCTCTGTTGAAGAAATACTAGTTCAATTTCGTCACCACTGTGTACAAAAATCAAATATTCTCTTCAAAAGGCTTAATTTAATTTATCAAAAAAAAATAATTTCAAAATTTCCATAAAATTGGACTCAGTTATGTGGTTTGAGGTTCTCAGTCTAATGAATTTTGATTGGTACTCTGCATGTTGAGTTTATGTTTATTGTATATATAAAAAAATATTTCGTTGTTACATATTTTGCTTCTCTTTTATTGCGGTGTTTTGTCGATGTCTGGGTAAAATTGCTAATTGCATATCTTTGGCTCTGTTTTGTTGAACTACACCTATTTGCCTTTCAAAACATTACCTGTATCATAATTTTATTGATATATTTTAAATATTTTCTATTAATGAATATGTAAATTAATATAGTTAAATACGTCACAATAAAATGTTACTCTTTAGAAATTTGTTTCTGATTACTTTAAAAAAACTATGACAATTCCCATAATTTGTATTTCTTATGATCGTTTAAAAGATTTCGGGTGGCAATCTAAAGTTTTAAAGAATGTATAAAGAAATTTAATGGTATTTCTACTCTAATGAAAGCATTGAAATCTGAATATCTACTGAAAAGAAGAAGATTTTGTATATGAAAAGTGATCAATGTTTATTAAAAAAGTAGCATTTCATATTAGCTTTTTGACATTTATAGCGAATAATTTTAGCTACTTTAAAAATATTCCTAGTGTTGGTGACAGCTATATGCATGATATACATCAAATAAAGACCAAATTAATTGCCGTTAATGCGCAATAAATAAAGTGTAGTTTTGAATATCATTCATAAATGCCTTCTAAATAACATTCAAAATTATTTACTTAAATCATCATTTAAAAGTTTAACGATAAAAAGATTAAAAGTGTTCTTTTTATAAGAAGGTGATATTATTCTAGGTATGTAATGTAATGAAAAATATTTAGAAATGATGAAGAAATTAAATTAATTCGGAAAAACATACAAAATATTTTTAGAAAACATAATTTAAATTCAGAATATGGATATAAATGTAAATGAAAAGTTATGATGATTTTGTTTCAATTTTTAAAATTTTACGAAAGTGTTTTAATTTATTAATATTTTATGGAATTTGTAATTCATTTAATATTTTATTTGTGTTACTTCTCAGAAATTTTAAAGCTAGTGGCATTACATTATCGTTTAATATTGGTGGAGCTTTAATATGATGCGGAATTGAACTGCACTGATGTGACAAAAATCATGGGATTAATCTTAAAATCACGCGGACCTCCTCTAGCTCTACGAAGTGCAGCAACTCGATGTGACATGTACTCAATATGTAGTTGGAAATTACTTGAAGGAATATGCAGTCATTCAGCTTTAATGGATATCCATTATAAAGTGTTTTCGAGTGCAGGATTTTGTGCACAAACTGACCTCTTGATTACATCCCAAATTTGTTGGATGGGATTCATGTCGGGTGATCTAGTGGAACAAATCGTTCATTGGAATTGTTCAGAACGTTCTTCAAACTAGTCGTGAACAATTAAGGCCAACAGACATGGAGCATTGTAATCCATAAGAATTCCATCGTTGTTTGGGTGCATGAAGTCCATGAATGGCTGCCTATGTACTCCAAGTAGCTAAATATAACCAGTGATCGGACAAAAGATCAGGAGACCTAGTACATGCCATGAAAAAGCAGCCCAAACCATTATAAAGCGATCACCATATTGTACACTGCCTTGTTGACAACTTGGATCCAGGGCTTCAAGGGGTCAGCCCTACCCTCCCATCAGTTCTGACCAACTGAAATCGTGACTCATCCAATCAAGATACAGTTTTCCAGTTGTCTAGAGTCCAAACAGTATAGTCACGTGTTCAAGAGAGGCACTGGATGTGATATCGTGCTATTAGTAAAGGCACTCGAGTTCGTATTCTGCTGTCATGTCCCATTAGAGCCAAATTTCGCCGCACTGTCCAGATGGATGCGTAAATTTCACGTCCCCCATTGATGCTTGAGGTTATGTCACGCGATGTTACCTGTCTGTCAACGCTCACAGTTATACGCGCACGTCGGTGGTCTTGGTCATTATGTGCATGCGGTCGTCCACTGCATTGTTTATGGTGGAAGGTTATTAATGAAATTAGATATTCTCGACACACTCTTCACATTGTACATCTAGGAATGTTGAAACCTTCAAAATTTCAAAAATGGAGTCTCCAATTTGTCTAGCTCCAATTACCATTACACGTTAAGTATTTGTTAATTCTCGTCTTACGGTCATAACTACCTCAGAAACATTCACAGATGAACTTTAATACAAATAAAAATCCTAAACTGTGCACTACTCATATATAAATTTCATACGCAATACAATGATACTACTACAATTTGTATGTTTGCCAATTATTGCCTTCCAGTAACTTTTGTCTCCTAAGTGCTACTTAAACCTTATTACACGATAAAATGGTTCAGTTTAAACAAAATAGATGTTCACTTGAACATGTTATTAAAGCTGCATGATATTTGAATACTTTAATGGATAAGAATATTAATATAACACTTCAATATTGTATTGGTTATTTTAAGATCATATCAAAATAATTGCAAAATATTTTTTCTCTGGTACTTCCAAAAATTTAAATAAATTTAAAAGTAAAAAAAAAATAATTAAAAGTGTATTTAAGAAAATGAAATTTTTCAAAACTTATTTTTATAAAAATCAGCTGTAAGATTTTTTAATCAAAACTTTTTCAAACTGCATTTTTTTTTTCATATTCATTACACTTTAGATATTCTATTTTTCTTTTAAAATTATGTATTCAACGACTAAGATCATTAAACTTTAGTAATTCATTAGTACAGTATAATAATACAACTTAGAATTCGTTTATAAGTTTTTTACTTTTTTAATAATGACTTAAATAATGGCTTTATATATTAACTTTTCAAATGTCAAAATAGATTTATTAAATCATTTAAATTTTATTGGACTTAAAAGTAAATTAGATAAAGTAATTTTGTTTGTTATAAAAATTCAAGGAAAACCAATTTTTCTCTAACGTTTTTTAAAGCCTCAGTTTCGAGGCTTTTCAGTCAAAATTTCCTCAAACTGCATTATTTGACACATATAATACGTATTTATCTCTCTTTACTCAATTATTCATGTCTAAGATCACTCAAATGTAGTAATTTATTAACAAATTATGGTAGTGTAACTTAGAATTTGTTCAATACTTAAAGTACATATGAGATATATTACAAAAACTTGCATGGAATTAAACCAAATACGAAACCGATTTATTGACACACTTACGAAAACTTGCATGGAATTAGTCCAAAAGCGAATCAGATTTATTGATGCACTTACAAAAATTTGTACGGAATTAGTCCAAATTCGAAACAGATTTATGGATAGATTTACAAAATCTTGAATGGAAATAGTCCAAATGTGAATCAAATTCATTGATACACTTACAAAAACTAGAATGGAATTAGTCCAAATGCGAAACAGATTTATTGTTACTCTTACGAAAACGTGCATGGAATAAACCAAATGCGAAAAAGATTTATAGATACACTTTCGAAAACTTGCATAAACTAAAAATTGATTTAAAGTAATTTTGTTCTAATGTTTCAAAGAAATAACTTATACCTTAACTGTTAAAATATATCAGTCTTCAGGTTTTCAACTGAGATATTTTTTTTTAACTGTATAAGTCTCATACATTATAATTCAGATACGTCATTTGTCTTTCCCAAACTTCGTATTTTATATGATTCATTCGTATATTAGGGTATTTAAACTTTGAATTCATTAAATACTTTATTTAACTACTGAAATAAATGAAAAAATATTTATTAAGCCCCTTTCAACAATTTGCATGGACACAAAAGTAAGTATGAGAAAGTAATTTCTTTTAACATTTCACAGAAAACCTATTTTTCACTAACTTTTTAAAAAATCAGCCTAGAGGCTTTTCAATCAAAATTTCATCAAACTTCATTGCATGCCACACATGTTTTACTTAAGACATGTGATTTATTTCTCCTGAAATTCAAATTTTATATACAACTAAAATGTAGTAATTCATTACTAGATAATAATAAATTTATTTAATATTTAATTTAAATAATAAAATGACTTCGAAACAGATTTATTGAGCCACTTACAAAAATCTGCATTGATTTAAAAATAAGTTAGATAAAGTAATTTTGTTTTAAAATTTCAAAGAAAACCAATTTTACCCTAACTTTTTTCAAAATATCAGCCTCGAGGCTTTTCAACCAAAATTTCCTCAAACTGCATTATTTGTCACATACATTATACTTAAGATATGTCATTTGTCTCTTCTGAACTTCGTATTTCACGTCTAAGATCATTAAAATGCCAAAAGAATCGAACAAAAATGAAGCCAGAATAAAATAAAAGTGAAAAGAAAAATTTCTTTAAAATCAAAGCCTTTTTATTTGAATTTTCTAGTAGTTCATTCTTAAGACTATTTTTTTATGATAGTCTGCAATTTTTATTTTTTTATTTTATTTTTATTTCGACTCTTTCCTCGTTAATGCAAAAGTTGAAAAATTTCTAGTTCATTTCTCATTCTTCTTCTTTTCTTTTTTTTACTTCTAAATTTTGCCCTTATTACTGTCGAGCGAGACTAGTTTCAATCTTTTAAAGAGACAAAGCTCTCTAATAATTATCTAGGTCCGCGAGCAAATCGCAAACCTCCTATCTTTTCCCCTCCTTCTTTTTTGCATTTTTTCTCTTCTGTTTCTAAGATTACGAAGAGGATGAAATTCGCCAACGTTTTAAGCCATTTTCTACGGCGTACACCAATCCTTTTGTCATTTCTTTAAGCTTTTTAAATTTTTGCCTTCTTTACAAGTTTTTAAGATAAAAATAATGAATATAAAAACTAATAAGAAGTATTTTTTTTATTCTGGCGAAATGTCAAAATAATTTTGCGAGCATGTATTAAATTGTTTGATATTTGCTAGGTTCATCAAAAGTCATAATCATGTAAGTTTTAATTATTTATTCAACTTTACCCATTTTGCAATTAATAAAAAAATGCCTGCATTTTCCTTATATCCTATCTTATATTTTTGTATATGTCGGTTTTTTTAATACTACACTTCTGTTACTTTATCACCATATTCCTCTTATCCCAATATTTTATCAACCTTATCATATTTTCTTATCAGCATTACCCAAAATATTTGCTTCGAAATTACTTTTTTTATCCTACATATCCTTATTTTTATTTCTTTGGTGTAGTAATTTTTTCGCACAATTTCGTTTACAAAATCTATTAAAAATAGTTTTTTTAGTGTCTTTATTTTACCTCAGAGTTTTAAAAAACATTTTTATCATATCTTATTCATATTAAAACAAATAATGTTTCAAAG